TGCTGATCTCCATGATGTGCATCGCCATTCACCACCATACAATATGAATATAAAGTGTTGATGTGGAACACCATATTTCATGCACAGGATAAGCTACCAACTCGTAAGCTGTGTATGGAACGGTATATATCGGAAAAGTAATCAGTAAAGGGAGAATCCAGTGCTCCGCTTTCCTATGGCACGGTTCTGTTTCCGCCTCGCCAATGATAACTATGCTCATTTTTGCTCGCGCGCCTGCCTGTCAATTTATGGGTCCAGCGTGGGACAGTAGTGTAGGCCAAAATGAATGAACAATGTGTGAGCCCTTGCGTGGCAGCTAGAAGAGTTGATGAGCGGTATGGTGGATGATTTACTGCACGATGTTGTCAGGGCTGTCTGCAAAGAAGTCACGGGCTTAATGCCAAAGTGCAGGGTCGATGGTGTGCAAAGTGCCCTTCACCGCCTTGCGCGACGGGCAGTAGTGAACCGCGGCCGTCGTGGCATCTGGGTGGTCATCATGGTCAGGCTCGTGGGGGAGGTTATTGAGGAGGAGCGTGAGCAGGATTGGGAACTCCTTGGTCTGTGCGTTGTTCGTCAAGCCCTTTACGTTCTAGAAGGGATCAATAAAGACAACTGGGCCGAACTGCAAGGTGTTCAGAGTTGCCGTGGGGGGACATTTGTGATATACCGCCTTGTAGAACGCGACGAAGCGATTGCACGCCGTGATCTCCGGCTCAAGTTTGTTGCGCCAGAGGTGGTAGCTATCTTGGTGCTCGTTTACCATCTGCTAGTTGTGCTCAGCAGGGTCAGCGCCTGGAAGAAGGTGTGGTGGACGGGGAGATCCTGATAAGCAGCAGTGTAAAAGGCTGCCTTGTCGCAGTTGCTGTTTTCACCGGTGATGGTGAGTCAGTCGATGCCAAAAGAGGCGATGCATATGTGCTCGGGGATGTGCTGGGTGCTGCGGGCTGCATGCGAGATCTCGAAGCCCTGCTGTAGAGCCTGGGAGGCGGCGAATTAGTTCGAGGATGGAGATGGAGTGGAGAGGGCATATATGTTGGTTTGCAGTGAGCCGGGCGGCAAGAAGGAGGCGGTGACACTGGTGATGTGCCGCAATTTTGTCTGTAAGCAAGGCCTGTGCCTGTTGTTTGAAGAGTCGGCCCAGGCCTTTAATCTGGAGGCGACGGTTAGTGGGCAGGCAGGTGTGGATGAGGTGGAGGCCAACCCAGACGTTACTGCCGGCTGAACCGTCATGGCCTCGGACCAAGTGTTTGAGGGCGGCGTCCTCGAGTTCACAGCGGCCGCCATGGATGGGATTGGTGATGTGGCGGACAAACTCGTTGACATTGATGGCGGGATGGCCAGCGACTACCATGATGTTGCCTAAACGCTTCTCCGCGTGTTTGAGGCGGAGCACCGTCATGTTTGTCTAGAAAGGAGTGAGGGGGGGTGTTGCAGGAGACGAGGAGGCGGCCCCACCGCAGGCTTTGCTGGCTTGTCAGGAGCACCTTCAGCGTTGCCGCCATCGTTGCCGTCGCTGCCATCGTCACCGCTGCCGCTGGCTGGGGGCAGGTTTATGATAAGCTGAATGGATTGGGTTGCGTCGGTCGTGGCCATGCGAAAATCGCTTGCATTGGGGCTGGAGCCATCGAGAGTGAGGGGGAGGTGCTTGTTGAGTTGTTTAAAGAGGGTGAGGACACGCGCGCGACGCTCAGGGAGCGAGATTTGAGAGGGTGAGCTGGACATGTGGATCGTGTGAGGTGCGAGGAGGATGTTTGGTCGGGCTTTAACGCGGTTTCGGGCTATGCCAATAGAAATCATGGTCGGGAGGATTTTTTGCAAGAGATGGTGCCGGGTAATCCCATCGTGGCATGGCCACGGTCAAAGGGCGACCCCAGTTGCGGTGCGGTGCTGAGTATGTGTACGATTTGTGATTTGTGATACACAACATTTTGCTATCAGATTTCACAACTACTTAAGCAATTGGTGGAAGACGGTACAACAAGGGTCAGAGAGTGGATGGTACATGGTGCATAGCTCAAGAAATTCCAAGAAGGATTAGAGGGCTTCAGATGGCGGGTGGGATGGCAAAGAGTCAAAGGATGCTAACAGAGGTAAGCTTATGCAGTGGAGAGGATCAAGAGATAGACATACCGGACGAGGTCAGTGAGTTGTCGGGGGCTGGAGAGGCCGGGGAGGGTGTGCAGGAGCTTGGCGACGAGTGCGTCGAGGGGCGCGTAGAGGGTGAAGCTGGTGTGGGGGTTCACTGTGATTCGGCTGCTACTTGTTAGCTGGCTCCATGGAAGAGGAAGGAGAACGCACAGGATTAGGGTGGGGTCGAGGTTCGCCAGCGGCCGAGGTGGTGAGGGCGAACTGAGTCTGGGCGGCCGGCGCGCCTGCAATGCGGCGTAAGTCATGGAGGCCTGCGGCAAAAAAGTTATTGACGGACAGGGGTTGATTGAGAGAGGGACTTGCTTTGGGGGAAGGGTAGGGCCAATGGATGGCCGGGCAGGTAGTGGCGTGGGTGGAGGCCTTTGAAGTCTCGGAGCGACATGGTGATGATGTATCTGCGCGGAGGGTTGGGGGGAGAGCGCAGGAGAGACTGCGGTACATACACACGTGTCGAGGGACCATGGATGAGGTGTAGGCTGTGGGAGCTCATGCGGGGAGAGCGGATTTGGACAATTGCAAGGAGGAGGCACCGGATTCTGGAGAGTTGGTTGGCCGACGGCGGGGGTGCGGGAGACGTACTGTTCGATGGGCGTCGGCGGGGACGAGGCGGCGCCGGGTGAGACAACGAGAATCGAGGCCATAGGGAGAGATGAAAATTTTAGATGGGGTGTGTGTGGTCTGACACGATGTGTATTGAAAGTAGGGTGCACGGGGCAAATATATTCGTCGTTTTTAGATAGCGTACAGTTGAGTTAGGTAGAGGGATCAGCAGTAGATGCAGGGGAATATGGCTAATCCTGTGCAAGAGGGAGAGGTGGAGGGACGGCGATTGAAGTGCTCAACAAGTTAGATGGCCGCACGGCGAGAATGGTCATATAGATATATGCCGACAGTATCTCACTGGGGGAGATCTCGAACTGGGACAGTCCGCTGGTGACCTCTAGGAGGAGGGCGTGAAGGCGGCAGCGGAGTCACACGCGCTGCTGCTCACAGGCGGGGGCATGAAGGGAGGCGCGGACGTGTGCTTCCATCGCGCGGCAGAGGGAATGATCTCTGGGGGCACGGTCAGCCAACACGTGTTAGCAAGGGCAAGCGATGCGTACTCGAAACGGAACGCGATCCACATGAGGGGGTGGGTCGGGTGGTGCACAATTGCAGCAAAGCCGTCGACAAGTTGGACCAGTGCGCTGCCAAACGACGTTAGTACCGTGCGCGGTGGGGTTGGGAGACGTACAGGGTGTATGGCATTGGGCGGGCGGGACTGAGAATTTTGTTTTGACAGCAAAACCACTTGCTTGAACTTGGGCAACTTTGTGCACTGCGGTGAAACCTAACTGTATAGGCATTGTTCTATCTGTTGTCACGTGTATACCCCGCAACCCGCACAAAGTACATAACTCTGTTGATCACTACCAGGCCCTCACACTTTCTGGTAACAGCGGCTTGAGCCCATCCTGGTGCAATCCCAGGTGCTGTTATTCCTTGATATGCGACGGTCTTTTTGGTTTCTGTTATCAGCCCTGATGGTGAATTGAGCGATGATTTGTATGCAGGGCGAAAAGGATTGTTGGCTGAACAGAGGTGAAGGTGCTAATATACAGTGGTGATAGTAGATTTAATATACAAATTTCGGTTGACAGCGCTGCAGCGTCTGACTAGTATTCAACGAATCCCATATCTAGTTGGTCAGATCCTCCCTGAAAGTTCTTAAGATGCGGAATGCTCTTGGAGAGAAGAAACTCACTGGTGGCTCGTTTCCCCCATGAACGCCTGGCATATCCTGATGACCAACTCGACTCCGGCTGGCCCCCTGCACGCCCAAGCACTGGCAATCTCCTTGTGGACTTGGCCGCAGCCGAAGCAGGGGTACATTCGTGTGCGTGCGCCAAGGAAGTCAAGTGCCATATGGACGAGGTCCTCTGAGTGCGGTCAAGCGGAGAAACAAGAGCACAAGAAAACTCACCCAGGCGCATGTGATGGAAAGACAGGATGAAGTAGTACCAATGTATGCACTCATCCCTGCAGCGGGCGCGGTACTCCCGGCGACGCCTGGCGATGTCGTCGGTTGACCCCACCTTCAGGTTGACTAGGTGTACGAGGCCGCGGGCGTCGATGAATCTGTTGATCCACTCGAGGAGGACCCGTTTGTTGATCCGCACATGGACATAAAACCCGCTGGGCCCGTCCAGTGCTTTATACGGTGTGTTGGCCAGTGCAATGAAGTCAGTGATGGTAGGGGGCATGGGAGGAAATTGTGTGAGTGGGTATGAGGACAGTTGCGTTGGGTTGGGAAGTAACGGTGAATGGGTGAGGATGAGGGTGGCGGTTGGGTGAGGATGAGGATGGCGGTTGCGTTGCGTTAGCAAGTGAGTGTGAATGGGTGAGGAGTCGAGCAACTTGATACTACTTGTTGCGCACTGAATTGCAGACTGACTACTACTAGTAATACGTGGTTGGACGCCCTGCAGCTTGGACCAATTAGGGCAGGTCTGCAGATCACATGGGCGCATTTTGACAGAAGCTGTCATTGAGATCAGTGGCAGTGTACCCGGGAGCGCTTGAGACGAGCTGAGGAACGTGACAGTAGGATGGGGATTCAGGAGTTTTTCTGGGGCGCTAGCGCATGGGTCTCCGCGTGGGTAGCAGTACATAGGGTGTCATTATTGGTACTAGTCAACAGAGTTGTGTCCTGGGGGTGGGCCGCGCGCTCAGGATAATAAGATTGTTCAGCTGCATCCCGTTTTGGAACGTGCCGAGTTCTAGCGACAGCTTCGATTTATGGCGTGCGAGTTGGATATTTAACGGCAGTGGAGGGCAAGGTGTTATTTAAAAATTAAAATAAAAAATAAAAACGGCCCGACCTCAAGTCGAACGAGGGTCTCCGGATGGAACATGTTCAGCCATTTACTGTAATCCAGCACAATGTCAACTCTACTATCAGGCCATATTTATTGCACTCTAGTTGGTCATGTAATGAGGCTGTAGAGCAAGTTGTCAAAGTGAAAAACAAAGGGCCGGTCTCCAGAAGGACACAACGTATTAGAGATTATGTAGATCCAGTGGGGTAGCAACTCCGCTATTGGGCGACATTTATAACAGGCTAGTTGGTCATTCAATGGGGTGTGCCCGTGGCTTCTGGTTGCGGATGCCAGGGCCAAAACACCGGATAGTTCTTTGGGGCTGGGACCTGAGAGCGGGTTGTCATTTTTGAGCCGCCGCGTGGGGGTACATAATCTATATTTACAGATGTTTTACTCTCAAAGGATAATATTTTGAATTCAGTATGTCTAGATTAGGAGGCGCTCATGAAATATATGAATATATTTCAAGTCGTTGTTTAGAGATAATTGGGCACCCATGCGGTTTGATGAGATGGAACAAAATGAAAAAAGCAACGGCATCACTGTGACTCGAACACAGGACCTTGAACCTAAGTGAAAGCGCGACGAGCGAAATGGCAGCGCGACAAGCGAAAAAAGGCGGGCCTGCCGCCCTTGTGATCCATCACGTGACTTCATACCAACGGGACCCGTCGGTCAGAACACGTGACCGTTCAACATCAATGCCGTACCACATCATCATCATTCCGCCCAGTCCCGTCCTAGACGCCGAGTCTGTCCCCAAACTGTAGGTGCCTCTCCCCACCCTCAATACCACTGCTCATCCTCACTCGAGCTGGCTCTGCGCCACCGCGATTATCATCCACCTGCCCATCCCCAGGCCTGCCTACAACCTGTCGCACACCGGCCCGACCACGTATGCCCTCGCCGTCTGCACCCTAGCCGCCTTGACTCTCGCCCCAGCTATGTCTTGCACCAATCCTTCACAGGGCTCAAAGGCCACCGATCTCCAGGCGCTTCTGAGAAGCCCACCTGATGCAACTGTATGTCCGTCCCTCTCCTCCTACCTCACCCACTGAGCGATCATTAGCGCTTATTTGAGTAAGATCTCCTCCTCCACGTTAGCGCTGCACTCACGCACCTCAGCTCCTGAAGACTCGCTCCCACTGTATGTCTCCCCGCCTTGACTTGGATGCTCCTCACCCTGCCACAGCAACATTGCGCTAACAGCGTATCTCTTGGCCCTGTACCCCCTTTCTTGAAGACCACCACCACTTGCCAAAATCAAACTGCCTGCCTCGTGCCCCAAATCACCCTATTGCATGCAGGGAGGCCCGCAGGTATCTGAATGGCGCTCGCATGCAGCTTGTACAGTAGCGTATAAAATCGAAAAAAATTCGTTTAGTCCAAGATATCCCAAGATGAAGTGCCTGCGTGGTCCCGGCATTTTACTTGTTTTTCAATCGAATGTGCCTCTCACTCACAGCCAAAAAAATGATTCACAGCAGAAATCGCCCCAGGCTGGATTCGAACCAGCACCACTGCCTTCCGCCTAGGAACCCAACCAGTGGTGCCTGCCACTGGGCGCCCACAAGACCCTGCACATAATTCTGTTACGACTGCAAAATCCAACGTGCTTTTATAGTCCACGTCTGAAAATCACCAAGACCGGATTGGACACAGCTGCACCCAGGCCCGCTGTTGGAGTCTGTGACTGGACTGTGACATTCTCGCATTCCTGCTTACCTATTTGATCCGGTTTGATCCTTACTTATGTAGTTGTACTTACTAATGCTGACTGAGCAGCTGACTGATCAGCTGACTGAGCAGCTGACTGAGCAGCTTACTGAGCATTACTCATCCTCATTACTCACATTACTCATCCTGTTCCCACACACCTACAATACATATATAAGTAGGCTAGTGTAGTCCTGGAGTCCTCAGTTCTCACTGTTGACTTCAGGTTAGTACTTACTTCCTTTTCCTTGCCAATGCACAAGAGTTCTCACTGTTGACTTCAGACCTCTGTGCTGCCTGTTATAACACCCACGCCTTTTAAAACATAATTCCGCTCATTCACAGGGCCGCCTGAGCTAGGCCTCCACAGACGTTTCATATGTAATACAGAGAGCACGTTTTTATCATGAACAAGTACACTACAAGCAACTCAACTCGACGCCCTTCACCGCCCCGCCCTCCTCCTCACTCGTACCACATCTGCAGCTCGCCCAGTACCTCCTCCTACGCCTCATGTCAGTACCGCCCTATGCTCAACTATTTCCACTCACAAAATCTTCCCCAAGAATATAGCAGCCGAGCGCGGCCCACTTTTCCGCAGCCATGCACTTCCCCGTCTTCCAGAGCGCCAACAGTCCATCGACGACGTACAGCTCGCGTGCGAGACTGACGAGGATTCCTGCCGCGACCCATACACAAAAGTCGCAGAGATCCTCTGTCAAGAATGAGCCCAGCAGCTGACACACAACAATTGCACCCACCAAGAGACGGCACTCTCATCGCAGACGACAGCGACACTGCAACCCCGTACTTTGCGTGCTCCCAAGCGTACCACTCCTCCAGAATCTCCATCTCGTCTGCAACACCGGATTGCTCCGATGCTTGCATCAGAGTATAAAGACAAGGTATAAATGCAAGAGCAAGCGCCGTTCGTCACGTGCACGTGTCTGCTCGCAATTGGTGCCCGCTGCCCCTGTCTGAATTTCTCCGCATGCCCACTCAGCTCACCAGTCGTAGGCACTCCTGCCGTCTCCACGGTCTTCACCCCAACATCTATTGTCTTCTCCATTGCCTGGCCCCCGATTCACCCCAACCCCGCCTCAACAACTTGACAAGGGTTCTCGCCTAGACATCAGTCCCGTGGCCGTGCAACCTAATAAGGGTTCTCGGCTAGACATTAATCTTTCCGGGTGCCGCCAACCTAGTTCTCCACTAGACATGAATCTTCCCGGGTGCCTTGGCCCCGCATTGATTTATTTTGGCCACTGCCCAGCTTTTTTGGTCTGCACCATTCCTTGAAACCAAGGTTCAATTCATCCCTACTACCAGCCCCGTGGCAGATCTCTGCACCGCACAGCTCCACATCTCTTGGGGCTACTGGTTCAAACCCAGCTCGGGGCATGTGCACAGCTCGTAGTATGTATTTCTTTTTCAGCAGAAAATTAACATATTTTTAATTCTGCAAGCCCTACATGAATCTTTATGTGCGCCTTGGCTCGCACATATTTTTCTCTGCATTGCCAAGCTCTGCTGATTTTCACTACAAACTTGTACCCTTTCACCCATACTACTAGCCCCGTGGCGGACCTCTGCACCGCACAGCCCCACAGTCCGTGGTGCTCCTGGTTCGAACCCAGCTCGGGTGAATATCCACAGTGCGCCTACTTTTTTACCTCCCCATCTGCACGGCCTAGCTCAGCTGGACCCCCTTTTTGCCTGGACTTCTCAGCTGTCGATATTTGCCTCTGCCGCTTGCCTATACATTTGACTTGGGCCTCACTTGCCACCAGTCAATAAACTGCAACTGTGTCTGCCTTCCAATTTTCTCGCACCGGTTCAAACCCCCGGGATCCCCTTTTTTGGTGGCGATCTTCCCTACATTCCAAACCTCTCCTTCACCTGTCACCCTTTGGCTACTAGAAATAAACTCGAACCTCACCCGTACTTTTTGGACGTAATTTTCTCCCGGCGGCCCCTCCTTGGTTTCAAGGCTCAATACCGCTGTCACCAGGCTCAATGACTGACCAGCCGTGGCTCTGCCATGGCGCTTCTCCAGTATCATTGCAAGACACATTCCTCCAAATATATGTTCTTCATGCCCCCGTCCCAAAATTGAATTTGCTCCAGCCACGCCCGACAACCTCAAGAGTGTTTATGTGTTCCGATTATCGACGCTGGATTTCATCCACATGCACTGCATTCCGTTCATCAACCTACCGCTGGTCCCTCCACCACGCAGTGTCTTCATCATTTCTACCCCAGCCATACCTGCACAAAAAACAGTATTTGTCGAACTGCTCAGGCCGGCTTCCAACCGACAACCACAACTTTGTTGATCCCAAAGTCCCTCCAGGTGCATACTCCAAATATCACTGGGCCTTGACAGCACGACCGGCCAGCCCTATAATATGGCCGCCTTCAAACACACACCCGATGCCCTCGAAAAAAATCCACAAGATGTACAAAAAACTTCTCGCATGTGCTCCATGCACCCGGCCTGGGTTTGAACCAGCAGCTCCAACAGTTGTTGTTGCTATACCACGGACACATCCGCCACGAGGCCTCTGCCCACACTCAATCGACCTTGCCCTTGCACTCAATGTATGATCATAATACCAGAACTGCGGCTATCACTCCATTTGCTTCCAACACTATTGCCATTGTATCCTCGTAGATGAAGACGTTGTAACTGTAGGCGTCGAATCAAAACCTTATGCAATCAAATCCACTTGAGCTAGCCAAAACATCTGGGAAACCCTATTCGCAGAGGCTGGATTCGAACCAACTCCATCACATTCCGTCTAGGCAACTTCAGTGGTGTCTCGCCCATGGGGCTCGCACAATCCCTGTCCTCGCACAGCTCATATCCCTGCCTCTAGCTCGGTAATCCCATCCTCGTTTTTTTTTTGTAGCCCACAAAAATTGATCCCGCCTGAGCTACGCCCCTCCCGCCAGAAATATTATTGCAATACCAACACCTTCACGCGCCGCCTGTACTAAAACAAAATCTGAGTATTAGAATTTGCAGAGGCTGGATTCGATCCAACTCCACCACATTCCGTCTAGGCGACTTCACGGGTGGTGTCTCCCCCACGGGGCTCGCACAATCCCTGTCCTCGCACAGCTCATATCCCTGCTTCTAGCTCAGTAATCCCATCCTTGTTTTTCCACCCCCCCAAGAGATAGATCCCGCCTGACCCCCCAAAAATATAATTACTATACGGCACTCCTCAGGCAATTTGGGCCAATGCCGGATCCTTCCCGTTTGGAACGCCACGGCAGTCAACGGCAAAATGTGATGTTGTCGTCCCGGCTCGGCAAGCAGACCTGGGTGTCCTTGCATCGCTTGAGTCATCCGTCGCCTCGG